TTTCCGAAAACCCCTTTTGACAACCTCGTGGCGGACCCTGGCTTTGATATACATCCTTCGTTGTATTTTGATGTATATATGCACATTTTGACTAAGGTGAAAACTTCCAGAAAATTTTGAAAACTGCAACTTATCAAAAAACATTCGGTCGAGACAATTTTTTACAGAAAGGGTAGGTATGTGCGCCATATATTGCTGACTACTCTTTCAAATTGTCGCCCAGTATCTATTTTGAGAAAATAGAATTCCAAAACTGAAACTGCTTTTTCTGTAAAATCGTTGTCAGTAGTAGTAACAGCGGATAATAATTATTTTATCTCATATAAAAAGTATTAAAGTGAAGTGAGAATTGTCCTTACCGCGTACGGACATAACATATGCGTAATGAAGGACTCCAATTACATTGAAAAATCTGTGAATGATAAATACAATTTAATTACATGTTAACCTTTACCATTTGGTAGTCAAAGCACATAATTATGACAAAGAGAAATGCACATGCAAGTTCTGTACAAAATAATTGATGCATTTAGTTCCCGTTGACAAGAGCGATTAGACCGTCCTTGTAGGATCCAGAGCAATCACCTTTGATCATGTTCTCAAGGGAAGTTTTGTACATGGCCTGCAAAAAATTTTATTTACGTATTATATAGAGTTTTTAAAGATTCTTTTTGTTAGGAAAGATAATTTAGAAGATTAATCACGAAAATTATTCAATAAATAGTGCCCCTTGCACCGGCGACAACATTTGCGCGGAAACAAATGTCATGCTTGTGCATGCCGACAGTATGCGTGCGACTTGCGCGTAAAAATGGCCATAGAGCGCGCATTCTGATTTTACGCGCAAGTGTTGTTGACAACGCAAGAGTACGGTATAAAATGTCAATTCTACTAGCTCAAAAACGAATTAAGAGTACCTGGAACTGTTGTCTGATGTCAGCCATGTCGTACTCGCATCGGGTGACCACAAGACGGATCAGGTCGCTGTCTCTAGTTCCCAGACCCTTAATTAAGAATGCATTGAGATTTAATGAGTGTTCATGAATAATCACCGTACCTTCATGCTCTCGTAAAGCAATTTAGCGAAGTATGCGGGTCGATTGCGAACCACAGCGACTAGAGCAAGCAGGCCGTCTCGAATATCACCAGAGAATTCGGATTCGATTGCTCTTTCAATCGAGTGCTTTGTAACCTGAAAAGCATTGTATAACTCCCTGCAACTTCTGCAACGGGTATGTCGTACCTTCTCGTATTCAGCAAACACCAGCCGAAGTTGGTTGAAGTTCTGACTAGCGAGAATTTGATTGAAGCAACTTTCGTCGGTTCCAAGACGACGTTCTCCAGCACTGTACAACTTTCGGGCATCCTGGAATCATCATGCTTGATGTTACTGAAGAATTTCAAGCAGGCTGGTAGCACAAGGTGTCGGAAACTCACCTGATTGGCTCTAAGCTGATCGGTGTAGTTAGATTGGTCTCTTCCGCCAGCGCAAAGTGAAACAAGGAGGCGCTGCAATAATACATTTAGCACTTCGTTGAGTAGTAAGCAT